GTAAAATAAATTTTAAAAAAATAAAAAAAGCATTCTTGAAGTTTTCATTTTAGCTAAATGACTAAATTTACTATTTCCAGTAAGCAAAATGCTCTACTGTATTTCAATTAGAAATTATATTGATTGGAATCTCAACTTTTTGGTCGCTTTCAGAGAAGTGAAAAATATCGGCCATTTTGTTACATTTGTAAAAAAAAAAAAGTTATATATATATATATAATCCAATAGAAAATAATAAGACTATGAACTGATTGGAATAAAATATTTTTTAATCCAAAGCTCGAATCTTTTCCATTCAACATAATGCTGAAAAGTGATGAAAGTTAATAGAAAGGCATGGAAAATACTTAATGAGGCTATGAATTTAGATTAATAAAAAATCTTTGTCAAAATAATGCTGGAAACTTTTCGATCACCCACATGTCTGAAAAATGTGGAACATCAAAGATAAAAAAAATATAATAAATACAACACTAGCTTTTTGTGATGTTGAAATATGCACTCACCTGCTAAATTTCATTTCATGCGTTACTATGCTAAAGAAAGCTATTTTAAGCCCCTTTGAATGTGACATGGCTTTTGGTGTCAGACGGACTGGTCATAGTACTTTAAAATTTACTGATCTACTAAGATTTTTACGCCCAACCATCAATAGGATTTAGAGAGGAGAGTCATAGAATGAAAAACTACCTTGTTGATGAAAGGGGATGTAATAGAAAAGCAACAGTAGCTCAAATGTTCCTTATATCGGAGGTCTACAGGAGAGCATTTCTGAAAGCACATGGTCGAATCTTGAAGATGGTGGGTTGTAGCAACAGAAGATTACGCCCAGTGTCACTCCTATCAGATAAGAATAAGAAATCGGGGTTAGATTTCGCTAAAAGTTCACAGAAATTTAACAATAGAAGATTGGAAAAAAAACCTTGCTCGGTCTGATGAGCCTCGATATCTGCTATGTCCATTTGGATGGTAGGGATAGAATTTGACGTAACAAAAACATGAAAGTATGAATCCACCTTGCTTAATATCAGAGATTCAGGCTGCTGATGGGGGTGCTGTAATGGTATGGGAAATATTTTCTTCGCATACATTGGAACCTTTGTCACCATTGTTTAAATGTTGAAGCCTTTCTAGGGATTGTGGTTGAGCACGTACCTCAATTAATAACTAGTGTGCAACCATTGCGTAAATCCCTCCTTTGGGGGATTTCGCATTATTTATCATCTCTCAGTTGCGTCTCTGTCCTTGGACAGAGTGCGCTCAGGGGCTTCTCTGTCAAAGGACAGAGGGGCAACTGAGGAAAATTATGCTGAACAGGTGCCCAGCCCTGGGGAACAGCTGCCCGAGGCCACGCCCTCCCATTGCACCAGAGGGAGCGATCGGTGCTCGCACCGAGGCCAGCGCAACCGACGGTTGCGGGGGCTGAGGGGAATTTTTGTCCCTGCCCGAGTGTACGCGCTCGGGACCCCACATTAAACCGACCTTGTGTCACATCTTGTTCTAGTGAGGGAACGAGTAAATACCAGTGTGCAACCATTTTACAGCGAGACAATGCACCATGGAACAAATATAAAATAGATACAAATTGATTCATGAAACACAGCAACAAGTTGTCGGTGTTCAAGTGTCCTCTACAGCCACTGGATCTCAGTTTCATAGAGGACCTTTGGATGTGGTGGAAATGGGAGATGCAAATCCTGGTAGGAAATCCAACCAATCTCGAAGAATTACAGGATACTATAATAAAAACATGTGACTAAATGCACGGTGGAGTAATGAATAGCGGCACGGATTGAGGAATTCACTTACCTTGGGAAAGGTATGAATCCTCTTCTTCTCCCCCAGCTATGGGTAAATAACAGGACAAGGAAAATTCTGAATTCAAAACCGTCCTGGAAGACTATTTTGCCTAAGATACTATATATATATATATATATATATATATATATATATATATATATATATATATATATATATATATGTATGTATGTATTTTCTTTGTTTCTACTGAAAGTTCCCTCTCTTAATCCTTTGCTTAGTTTCTGGGAGGCATTTTTTCACTATAAATTATGAAACGGTGAAGATATTTTCAGGGCTGTTAAAGCCCCCTTTCCTCATAAGGTGCTTCAGGAATTCTTTTTGATTTTAATTAACCTTTTAATTTATTTAATCTTATTTTATTTTTCACTAATATTCATCCAATACAAGGCCCAAGAGCCACTCAATGTAGGGGGCTACTGTGTGGAATTATATTAGCGTCAGAATGGACAAAGGTTAGGAGTACAGGGTTGAGGTAGGCTTTAGTTATAAGGTACCGGTAACCCAATCCTAAACAGGAAACAAGGGATAAATCTCTCCCCCTGTTCAAAAGATCGGGGAAGAGTGTGAACCGGGCGATAGGCGAAGCTTTCTATTTTCTTTCATACTTCCTCAATGCTCAAATGTTTAGTCCATGGTATTCCCAGAATGTACGATGGAGTAATGGATAGCAGTTCGGATTACTGAATCGGAGAACCGTTTTCGAATTCCAATCGCGTTCATTACATTCACTTACATGTGAATAATATAATAACCTTTTCCAAAGGTTATGGCAATAAAAGGTGCCCATTACGAAGTAGAGCCTACAACATAAATAAAGGATCATCAGGCCGGGTTCAATATTTACTTTCGTTCGTCGTACTGGCCTTAAATTTAGAGGAATCGATTTTGTTTACCGGATTCCATATTAGATCCACCGCCCAGCTATGGTTAAATAGCAGAGATTGGTCCCTAAAACCTTGGTTGGAAACCGGTCTAGGAGAAAGAAGACTCTGAATTCAGACCTGCCTGCAGAGGGTTGGGGTTTATCAGACCGTCTTGCACCTGAAAAAACCTCTGCTGTTATGACTGCAATCGATATGGTGACCCTTAGACCCCCGCACAGGGGTTACGTGATTCGTGATTACCAGCATCCGTCATTAGAGCCACATCTCTGTTACCTTAAGTCTTCTCTTCATCTCTACAGAAAGATATGACATAGCATTCAGGCACTGCTTTCTTTGTTTCTAATAATAATTTTTTTTTTTATCCTTTTGCTTGATACGTTCTTCCCGTTTCTTATTACATTGCTTAGCATTTGGAAGACATGTTTCGCTATTCAACTGCACCTCTAAATTACTGTGTCACATTTTCCGTTGTCTGTCACAACTCCCAGATTCGTAGCTCGAATCCAGAGCCGTCTCACCTAGTGACGAAAATTGACCAATATAGTAAAAAGTACACTATTTACATTATTCGGACTATTGTCCTCATCTTTGTCGCCATATTTATTACAACGTTTCGGCCGTTGTACGCTCCGGCCTTCTTCAGGTGGTTGAACACATGGCACAGTGGTCTAAAGGCATTAGTTAGATCTAGTGGCAGGACCCAAAGAGTGTGAGTTCAATACCTGGTTAAGGCGGTGGAGGACTTGGAGAGGAGAATTAACAGGAGATAACTGATAACTGATATCCATTAGACATGCCACGTAGAACTAGAACAGTCTGCCCCAGTGAGCGAAATTAAGGATTCGGTTCGACATTCCAACCACCTGAAACGTTGTAATAAATATGGCGACAAAGATGAGGACAATAGTCCGAATAATGTAAATGGTGTACATGATACCTCATCTCAGAAATATAGACAGATAGTAAAATGTCTATTTTATTAACTTATTTACTTTACAATTGATAATGTTCATCATTTTTTTATCATTTCATTCCACGAAAGGCGATAATGCCACTAAGACGCAAGTAGTTACTGGGAATGAAAGAAACTAAGATAACGTTAGTGAAGAGAAAGTACAATAAAATAAGAGGGTTCAGTAAATATAGAAGATAGAGATTGATGTTGCATTAACATTTTTGAAGATTGTACTTAACAGGAAAGCAGGGAGCCGGGGAAAGTATTCCACAGGCGAGAAGTGCAAGAGAAGAAACTATTAGAATAGAACTTACGGCTACATCTATTTCAGCAGTAAAATGGTGAGATCAAGTTGGTAAATCTAGTAGCACGCTTCGATGTATGACGTCGAGGTACCAAAGAAGTACGCTCATCAGAACAGTTGCCATGAAAATATGTATAGAAAAGACACAGAGAAACGATGTCATATCAGTTGGAAAGGGATTAACGTCGAGATGCCAGGTCAGGACCGATAACATTACAGACCCTCCTTTAAATCTATTTTCTTTTCAATTATTACCTTTTTAACTTTTTGCTGATTCTCCTTTTCTGGATATTGTTTCGATGATCATCATTTTATGGATTAGAGTTTTTCTTTTTAGACTTTTATAATTTTTTTTTCTTTCCTAATGATTTTTATTTGATTTTTTTTTTAACTAATTGTTTTTTTTTTCTTTGGGGCTATTTTCCTTTTTTACCTTTTATTTTTTATTGCTATTTTTAGATCATCTATTTTCTAGGTTTTACGTCGATTTTGTAAATTTTTCCCATTTAATTTTGCGGCCTTTTCATTCTTTGCTTCCTTTTATTCATTTTTCCTTTTTCTTTTTTGGCTAATTTATTTCTTGTTGCTTCTAATTTGATTTTCTTTTTGCTGTTTTTTTAATTGTTTTTAACTGATTTATTTTCTCTACCGATTTTTGCAAGTTTTTGTTTATTTTTCTTTGTTGAATTCAGTCGATATTTCGTTTACTTCTTTTTGCTGTTTTTTTTATTTCTTTTTACTTGATTTCTTTCGTCTACAGATTTTTACTGTTCTTGTTTATTTTTCTTTGTTGAATTCAGTCGATATTTTTTAATTCTTTGTTGTTTTTTGTTTGTTTTACTTGATTTCTTTTCTTTGCCGATTTTTTGCTGTTTTTGTTTACTTTTCTTTGCTGAATTCAGTTGATATTTTTTACTTAATTTTTGCTGATTTTTTTTTATTTATTCCTTTTTTTTATTCGGTTTGTTCTGATTTCTTCATCTGGTGAAATCACGTGGTAAGAAAATATATGTTTATACTTATTCTATTTCAGTACCTAAATGCCACCAACACGTCTTACTTTTTCATCACCCCAGTACCCCAACTGCCATCGCATTGATTCGGCTGCGTTCTCATCCGAAACTCTACCCAGCGACGTCTTCGACGGTTGCAGAATGATTGTCCGTTGTCAGTCGAAAAGGATTGTCACTCGCTGCTCACCCAAGTTGAAAGGCAGAGAACAGATTCTTGAAGATCGTTCCACCTTGAAGCAAGCGACCAACCGTGTAAATAGACACAAGAGATAGAGCCGTGTAAATAGTCACAAGAGATAGGACGAAATCGAGAAGACAAACACTTCAAATAAGTTGGCAAGGAGAAAAAAAAAAGTAACAAAAAAAAAATAATATCGACATCAAGACTTTTTTTTATCTGTAATGGATATGTTCCAAGACCTACAGCGGATGGCTGAAAACGCGGATAGTACGGATTGCTATATAAATGATAAAACTTAACGTGTAACTTAGACAAAATAAGAGATTAAAAGCAATAACTAATAATAAAATAGAACCATTATAACAATGTACTGTAATAAAAGTTATGTGACAGATAGAAGATTCGTTCCTACCGTAGATCTTATTAGGCACAATGAGAGATTAACAAGAATAACTAATAATAAAATTGAACAATTATAACAATATTCTATAAGAATAGTTATGTGATAAATAGAAGAGTCGTTCTTACTGAAGATCTTATCAGACACAATAAGACATCAGCGGCCAATACACACACACACACACATATATATATATATATATATATATATATATATATATATATATATATATATATTTTTGACTTTCGTTTACGTTTGTAAAAAACAATACGCTAAATTTGGCTGACTCAGTCTGTCGAGTGAAGATGGCTGTGGTAGAGGCTCTGACTGACGCCAAATCGGTTGAGTTTCAACCCGGACTTGAGACATTCGGCTGTCTAGTCGCACTGAGGAGCTGTGATACAGAGTATCAGTACTGTCTGCGAATGGTATATATATATATATATATATATATATATATATATATATATATATATATATATATATATATATATATATAAAGACACTAGGATAGCAAAATGACCTTAGCAACTTGTTTTGTTACTATTTGTCTTAATAAATTCATTTCGTTTTTGCCTTAGAAAAGTTCACATTGGACGAAACGCGTCGGCTGATATTACAGTTTTCCTATTGTCTTTTACATTTATAAATATTGTCTTTTCCTACAGGTTAACTCTGAGAAATTTTTCAAATATATATATATATATATATATATATATATATAAACAAACATTTTGGTCATCGGATCTGATAAAGTTATTTAATTTATTGCCCCTCTCATCCTTAAACATCACAAGGCATTTTCCTTACACACAATTTTATTTTTCATTCCAATCTGACCGAACCTGGCACATATTACGTCGGCGAAACGCGTCGTCAATAGTTTTTAATGTGATATTCTAAATAAATCCATATAATACCATAGGTATTGACATTTTTATTTATTTAAATTTCAGATGTAAAGAAGCTGGCATGGCCCGTAGGAAGGTTGGTCTTATTATCTCATATATATATATATATATATATATATATAATGACTTAAAAATATGGTTCCATCGCTACACAGGAATTGCAAAAACAGAAACTTCAAATATATAGTGATTGTCCAAGCGTAGCTTAGATGTGGCACAAGGCCGAAAGTGTGTGGGGCACCCAGTGAGGATCGAACTCACTATTCAGTCGTAATCATTCTAGCGAGACAAGCTTGCTAACCATTACACCGCCTCGAGGTGCCCAAATGATTTTCTAAGCGTAGCTAAGATGTCCCATAATGCCGAAAGTATGGAGCACCCAGTGAGGATCGAACTCAGTATTCAATCATAACTGTTTTAGCGAGACAAGCTTGCTAACCATTACAGCACACCGGGGTGCCCAAATTGCGGAGTGGAGAAGTGTGGTCGAAAATTGTTCCACCAAGTTTTCAATTTCATAACGACGTGCAGTAGTTAAAGTGACTTGTCAATTCACAGAGAGACGGGCTGTAGTTAGGATAACGTCGGAGAAAACAATACATTGAGGAGGAACAAAGGAATATATAGTAATAAAATAGAATTAAAAGAAATAAAAGAAAAAGAAAAAAAAGGAAGGAACAAATGAAAACATAACACTTTGGGATAAAAATTTGGAAATCTATAGTTAAAAAAATGGGGGGGTGCAGAAAAAATAATATAATAAACGAAAAACAGAGACGAAAAGCGTATACATATAAAGGTCCTCATGTGTAGATAAGTGCACATAACAGTGTGTAAATATACGCAAGCCACCAACACAAACTTATGAATCTCAATACACGTAAAGACACAAATAGAGACTACGAGATTAATATGTATCTACACCAACCTTCCGCTCTCCTTACATAAGCTTATATGTAAAGGAACTATAGTGATAGAACCAATGATGGCATAAAAGAGGGTGATTGGAATGTAGCCGTCAGTGTACATGGCAATACTTCCATTACTGAATAGTGCGTAATGAGGGAAATCATAAGTGGCAGAACATAAAAATATAGTAGGTACGAGATGGCTGTTATAATAATAATGACCTATGATCCTGTTGTTAACTGGGGCAAGGAATGGCTTGTTAATTTTAACGCCCCCAAAACGAAATTGCTTTCTTTTAATTGTCTGAGAGAATCTTTTCTGTTTTTCATCTGAGGGGGCAACTACATCGCATCTTCCCCTGTGTCGTGTCTCTCGCTGACATGAAACGACACGATAGCGAATCAATTACTAGGTCGGCTGCTAGGAAAGTTGGTTTACTGTGTCGTGCTAGACAATTTTTTCTCGCCCGAATCTGTTAATTTTATGAATTTAAGCGCAGTACTACATTGGCAGATAGGTCTCATCATTTTACAGTTGAAATAGACGTAACCGTAAGTTCTATGCTAACAGTTTCTTCTCTTATACTTCTCGCTTGTGGAACTCTCTTCCGGTTTCATGCTTTCCCGTCGACTATGATCTTCAAAAATTTAAATGCGATCTCAATCGTTATATTCTGTCTTCTTAATCCACGTTCTTTTATTGTTTTCTCGCCTTAATAATGTTTTTCTTTTATTCCTTCACATTCAGACCCCCCCCCCCAATCTCCGTGCGTCTTGTTGGCTTTATTGCCTTCCTTGGACTGAAATGATTAAAATAAAAACTTATATTGGGTGAGTTTCAGCTTAAAAAATCTAACCTTATTTTAAAATATCGATAATGCCATGTTCTAGAGTATTAGATTATATTATACAAACAAATTGTAACATTTTTTTTATTTATAAATACATGTTTTTTTTTATAAGTAAATTGTTTATAAACAACTGAATTCAAGATTGATAAAATCTTAAGCGACCCCACTACTGACGTCAGTGCGTCTTAAGCAACTAAAAAATAAATAAGAAAAAACGAAAAATGCCAAATTAAATAAAAAAAAAGATACTAAATACGTTTATTTTATACTATATTCAAGAATTTCACTAATTTTACTAGTTTACTTACACTGAAATGTTTTTTCTCTTCTATTTATTAGACATAAATATAAAGAACCTTTTAAGCAACATGAGTATTGATTCTTGGGCAGAAGTTAAGTACCCTGAGTACTGGTCATAATTGTGAGGTACTTATTAAAAAAAAAATAACGCGTAAATTCACTAGATATAGGCCACAGAAACGTATATTTTATTGTTGCAGCATCCCATATGCCTGAATAGATTTGTAGAGAGTTAACGCAAAATGTTGGTTTTGGCGATCGTTGTTTAGGGGGTCATCTTTTCTTTTGAATACAAATGAAATCTTGTATCCTTCTAATCAGATAGAGTTCGTATCTCGGGGTACGTTGGAAGAAAGAGAGAGAGTGAGAGCAAAAGTGAGATCCCTTCTTTGTTGTTGGCAGTAGTCCTGATTGCCGGTTATGGTGGTGGTGAAAGGATAGAAACAACTGACTTCGAAGCCCTCTTTTTCCTGGGTATATATTCGGTTTGGAAAGTGTTGGCGAAGAGTGCCGCGAATGTGCGTGTAGGATTGTCCTTCGCTTTGCTACAGGGTCTTTAATCTTTTGTTTTGCTTATCTAAGTATCTAGTTTCAGAAACGAAGTCAGCTGACTGATCTGTCCCTAAGAATGCCTGTGGTAATATTAATGAGGTGTTAAGATAAGTAAGGGTTTCAAGAAATATTTTTATTTTATTTATTAAACTTTGCCTACTATTGCAGATTATTATTTTATATGTTAATATGGACTCCTTGAAATTCTATAATATTAGTTACAATAGATTTCATTGCTTCCCACAAAAACTTCTTTGTCTGAATATTATATTAGACTATACATATATATATATATATATATATATATATATATATATAAAATACCACAAATATTATATGGGATTGATATCTGTTGAGACTGGGAACATTCCACACCACTTCAAATAAAAGGCTAGGAAGGGAAACCTCCATCAATATTGGAAAGAGTGATAAAATCTACTGGACATGAGAAACATGTTTTCTTAAAAAAAGAGAAAGATTTTATAAATTCCAACCGAAGGCTGTGCTGGTTACTGGGTCAATGAATTCTAAATGTTTCCTTGTAGGGAAACGGCTAATATTACCATTACTATTTGTTGTAATCTAGAAAGGGTTACTGAATGAGGAAGAACCAAAACGGAGGTTGAAAATGAAATGGTAATCTTTATAACATCAACAAAATACAATACTCTCCAGCGGCGTGAAGTAGGTAAACCACAGCTAGTGGTGGACTACTTAGACAGCATATTACTCCCACTTACTATAGTGTCCAACGTATTTATCAGGATTGGGACATACTCATTAGTGTTCATAGGTACGGTATATAACAGATAGATAGATAGATAGATAGATAGATAGATAGATAGATAGATAGATATAAACAGGCTGAGATAGATAGATAGACAGCGCCATGAAGTAGGTAAACCACTGTTAGTGGTGGACTACTTAGACAACATATTACCCCCCACTTACAATAGTGTCCAACGTATTTATGAGGATTGGGATATACTCATTAGTGTTTATAGGTAAGGTATATAACAGATTCATATAAACAGACTGAGATAGATAGATAGATAGATAGATAGATAGATAGATAGATAGATAGATAGATAGATAGTGTTGTAACCTAGAAAGGATTACTGAATGAGGAATAACCAACACGGAGTTTGGAAATGAAACGGTAATCTTTATAACATCAACAAAATAAAATACTCGCCAGCGCCATGAAATAGGTAATCCACTGCTAGTGGTGAACTACTTAGATTACTTACCCCCACTTACAATAGTGTCCAACGTATGTATGAGGACTGAGACATAACCATTAGTGTTCATAGGTAGAGTATATAACACCATTCCAATGAACTGGTGTTTTTGAAAGCTTTTTTTCCTAAGGTGGGCTTCTTTTGTCCTTCACCTCTTAAAACGTATGCATTTATCATAGCACTCTGCATTTATCTTGACATCATCATCAATACTGAAGGGACCTATCAATTTACTGCTTAAATTACTAGTCCAAAACATTACTCAGTCTCTATACATTGTCTTCTAAGTCAAAAAAAAAAATTCTAAATAAAAAAAAACAAAAAAAACCTCGAGCTTAGCTATCTGGTTCATCTAATATAACTCAATATTTACCGTAAAATTACGGTTCATTAATCAGTATTTCTCCAAACTTGCTCTTTCTACTTTGTGATGTTTGTTTAAAGGTGATTGTTTAATTGACTTCATGTCTTCAGCCAATGTTCTTACTATTCTATATTTTTTTTCTGTCTACATTTATAATAACAGCTTCTTCAAATATTGTTGATCAATTCACTTTTAATGGATAGCGGCTCGGATCGAGGAATCGGAGAGCCGAGTTCGAATTCCAGTCGAATCCACTACATTCATTTACGTGCTAATACCCTTGGGAAAAGGTATGAATCCTCTTCTTCTCTTCCCCAGCTATGGGTAAAATAGCAGGACAGACCACGTTCTATAGTCTTGGATGGCAACTGGCCTACCGCAGAAAGTAATGGCAACCTACTGCGGGGAAAAATCTGCCTCGTTAGTCATGTATCGAAAGATACATGATCGCCTAAGCGTGTTATCACGCATGGCACATAACTGAGTTTACTATTTCATTTTGTTCTCAAATCTCTATTTGTGGCATTCTTAAAGCCATTTTTTTAATTGTTCTTGCCAATGTTTTCAATTTCCTTTTTTGTTTGTTCTATGATCTCAATACTTGTATAAAATCTCGTTTCTCTTTTGACTTCATCTATTCTACGAGCCGTGCTAGTTCCAATACATGTGAAATTTAAATAAATAAATATTATTAACTGTTAGTTTTATGTGTATTAAGTTACAATATGACGAACAGGCAACAGCACCAATTGAACTATTGACGATATTTGTAATAAAAGAAAACGTATATTACTTGTTGATATGTACAAGGTATGATTAAAAAAGTATCGGGGTCAGTGCTATAAAAAAAGAAAACTACAATACATATCAGTTCAGCATTTAATCTCCTTCGAAGTAGCCCCCTTCTGAAGTAACACACTATATCCAGCGTCATTCCTATTGATGGAAGCATTCCGGAAACTGACCAAAAACTGCTGCACAAACCATGGTCACTGATGAGGCTTTGTGGAGTGATGAGAGGACCACACTCTACACACTTTCCTTCCATGCACTGATATAAACAACAGAAATAGACGAGAACGTTATAACATAGTATGCATGCGCGGCATAGTTCAAGGTCAACCTGTACCAAGCGGCTTCACTTCAAGCGCACTTTAGCTCCACAAACATAGACAGTCTCGAAACTGTTAGCAGACTACGTATATTTATCATATATATATATATATATATATATATATATATATTAGGGAGAGAACTTAGTAAATGAACTGTCTCTTCTTGTACATTGTCGAAATTGACAGCTTATCATTTCTAACTATATATATATATATATATATATATATATATATATCTTCTGAAAGTTTTCCAAACATCAGTTGATTAATACCAGTTTGATTGAGAAGACATTGACTTATTTTTAAGTTAATCATTTCACCCCAAGCAAAGTAATAAAGCCACTAAGGCACAACGAATTATTGGGCTTTAGGGAATATGAAAAAGAAACACACTATTAAGGAGAGAGAACTGTAAAAGAACAGAAATTAAGAAAACAAAAGTTAATGATTAACTTGGAATTTAATTTTTTGAAAATCAAAGTTGACTGGGAAGCTCGGTTCCGAAAGAGAGTTCCACAAGCGAGATGTGCGATAGAAGAAACTTTTGGTATCTTTCATTCTCAGTAACTACTTGCGTCTTAGTGGCATTATCGCCTTTCTTGGAGAGAAATGATAAAAAAAATGATGAACATTATCTATTGTAAAGTAAATAAGTCAATAAAATAGACTTTTTACTATCTATCTATATTTCTGAGATGAGGTATGATGTACACTATTTACATTATTCGGACTATTGTCCTCATCTTTGTCGCTATATTTATTACAATGTTGTACTCTCCGGCCTTCAGGTTGTTGGAATGTCGAACTGAACCCTTTATTTCGCTCACTGGAGTAGACTGTTCTAGTTCCACGTGCCATGTTTAAGAAACTTTTAGCATATAACTTATGGTTACATCCAGCCATTTCAAGTTTCAACTGATGAGACCTTACCGCCAATCTAGTACTGCCCTTAAACTCATAAAGACTTGGTACCATAGCGGAAAGTAAATCAGAACAATTACCACGAAAGTTTTTTAAAGAAAAGGGGCACAGAGATGCTATGTTACGGTAGTAGGGAATGTGACTGACGCCATGTCAAGCCCAATAACATTGCAGATTCTTATCGGGATGTCTAAATATATATATAGCAGGAGCACCAGATCAGATGTGGCAGTAATATTCAAAAAATCTTACTGGCATACTTCCCGCGATTTCGGAGGTTAAAGTAGGATTCACTTGTTTATATATATATATATATATATATATATATATATATATATATATATATATATATATATGTATAAAATGCATTAGTCATACAGAGAAAATCACAACTTTGTTCTAAAGAATTTCCACACTTAAAAAAAAGAGAAAGTAACTTATTAGGCGCGAAATTCTTGCGACTGCCGCTATCAAATCTTACCAAAATATAAATCTACGCACTTGATTTTTTCAAATATCTCTTTTTCTGAAAGAAATACTTTTTTCCGAAGCCAACATACATGACTATAAAAAACATTTAAAAGAAAACGGTTTAATTCAAAACTTCTGTATATCACATAACTTAGTTTTTCAGATTAAAATAATATAAATAATTACGCTTTTTAATAATTTCACCCCAAGTAAGGCGATAATGCCACTAAGATGCTATTAGGAGTGAAAGAGAATAGGAAGCCTTTATGATAAGGAACCAGAAACCCAATCCTAAACATTAAACAAGGGATAGATATTTACTCCTGTACAAAAGTCAGATTATTTGATATTAAATAACATCACTTATTATACTCTATAATTTACCTTGTGTTAAGCTGATTTATAAACGTTCTTAAAATTCTTAAATTCTAAAAGACTAACCACATTTTTAATTATATGTATAAATATTTGCTGTAATATAAAATCCTTAAATTTTCCTTAAATAATGTCCATCAGGGGATGAAACACCTCGACTAAGATAAGTTTGTCTTTATTTATATGTATATATGTATATATGTATGTGGGATATATTTGAGCAGAAATTTTGAATTGATACAAGTTTGGCTAAAGACCAACGAAATTTCTTTGTTATAAATTTTTTTTTATCGTCCTATATTTCGAACCATTTTTCTGGTTTCCGGTACGTATTTAAATGTCTTTCAATGTCCAATATCTTCATACTTACGGCTTTCATAAGCCATTATCAATGAGTTATTTTTTATTTTTTGCGCTATGCCAATTTCAACGTTTTCTTTTTAATATCGCATCTACACGCGTCAGTCCGTGTTGCTATGTCTTTTTTTTAATTTTATTTTGTGTCTAAATTTGATAAACTTTTATTGATGTTGAGTTGTTTGCTTCTATTAGTTGTAGTTGTTTTTACAGTGTATATCAGTATTTATGTGTTGTCAGTAAGGATTTGTCAGATTTCTTGTGTTTTATTGTGTTGATTCGTGATATGAGATTTAATTCAATTATTACTGGATATTCTATATGTCAGTGAATGCGGGACAATTTCCCCACAGATAGAAAGAAGATTTGAAGCATCAAAGATCTGGTTCTACAGAAGGATGCTGAGAATATAATGGTCAGAACATGCGAGTGACGAAGAAATTGTCAGGAAGATGGGAAAGAAAGATACTTAAACCTGCAACAAGAAAAAGAGAGCTGAAATTTCTTGGACAAAAATTGAGGAAAGAAGAACTGGAAAATTTAACATTCACATGACATACAGATGGCAAAAGGGACAGAAATACACAGAGATAACCGACGTAACGAGTTTATGTAGATGGATGGTAAAATAGAGACTGAAACTGACGGTAAGGGGACAAACGTTGCTTCGTGCTGCAATGATTGTCCACGTCATGAAGGGAGAAGGCGCATAAAAGAAGATAATTGGATAAACGACAAGTTAATCGGCGCGATAACGTAGTGTTCGTTTAACCAATGTATGTATTTTTGAATAATAATTATTGGAAGGAAATTCCCCAAATGGGCAAACGAATTCATAGACAGCGATGATGAATTTTATTTCATTAATCCGGTAGATTTTATAACTTTAACGTTATTTTTATTGGTTACCCATATTTGAGTAGACGATCCGCTGATTTATTAAACATTATATTTATTTATTTTCGTCTACCGGCCTGAATATTCAAGAAATCTTATTAAAGGATATGCGCTCTCCAGCAAGATTCGAACCTACGTCACCCTTGGCAGGAGAAACTGTCGTTAGATGTGCTATGCTTTAGACCTCTCGGCTACCAAGTGGAATCAAAGCTGAATAGTGCCTTATAAACCCAAATCTTTAATTTCTCGTAATATACATATCTACTCAGTTTACTAATGTAAACAAAGCACTTTCTAAAGAAGTGATGGATCTTTAATTATTAATCCAACAGATTTTATTACTTAAACTTAATTTTTAGTCCAT